GAGAAGGCAGAGGGTAATCCCTGTGGGGAATCCCTTAGTTGTTTCTTACAAGTTACAGCATCCACGGGAAAGATATGGGCTGAAGCTATTTTAAGCCGGCACCACACGGCAAATGAGGATACCAAACAATACCTCATGTGCGATAACCACAACAACCGTTCAGGACAAGTACCTAGATCATGTAGAGAGTTGGTGTATTTTTTTTTTGTCGACGAGGGTGGCCTTTGCCCATGGACAATTTATAAAGTTAAGATAAGGTGGGTCTAGTAACTCAGTGCATTGCATATATTTTGAAACCGAATGAGCCTACAAGCGTTGACTTACATTCACGAAACCACTCGGACGTCTGGCCCCTTGAAGTCGCAAGTTTAGTAGACACGTTTTTTATAGAATCATCAGTTTGAAGATTGTTAGGAATATTCTCATCGTCAGCATTAGCACCTTAAACAGAATTGCGTTACAATCAATACCATTCAATACTCCAACTATTAAAACTTACAACCGCAATTTTATATTTGGATTCGGTGTGGAAGGTCGGAATTTTGAGACACTGCTAAGAAGGGAACAATCGTACATGCGACCCCTATTGTAAAAACAACACCCCTTCATATTTAGGTATAACAGGCATTTTTCAATCTTTGGAAAACTTCCAAAATTTTCACCGCAGGCAGGATTTGAACCTGCGACCTTCGGCATCAGTACTGCCGACGCCCTAACCAACTGGGCCACCGCGGTTCTAATCGAGCCCGAAATATATGGATATATCTTCCACTATCGCGTATTCCATAATTTCGCGGGCTCGATTAGAACCGCGGTAGCCCAGTTGGTTAGGGCGTCGGCAGTACTGATGCCGAAGGTCGCAGGTTCAAATCCTGCCTGCGGTGAAAATTTTGGAAGTTTTCCAAAAATTGTTTACCTAACACGAGAAGTGTTTTAAAATTTGGTATTCAATTTTTCAATCTGTCTGTGCGAATAACTCCACTTGACTTTACTATCCTCCTATTCTGACTTGGGCAACTCGCTGCATTCCGTCGTTTTTAGGACCGACAGAGACCCTTCGTTGTTCTGATTAAGTTCTGGTTGAACTATGGTTGAGCTCGCTTCATCTTCGACTTTCTCTTTGAAAATATCTGCTCTAGTTTTTTTCCAGACTGGGGTCAACGGTCATAGTCAACAGCAAGCTTTGAACAGCCTCATCATTAGAATAAAAAAACAAAAAGGTCCCTTAATTAAAAACCAATTTTTTTAAAACACTTACCGTGTCAGGTATACAATTATTAAAACTATCCGGTAGATGGAGCGGAGCCCTGCACGCGTTAAAGGCCAAAATATATTAGGTACTTAGGTACTTGCAGAACCGCGGGAGCCCAGTTGGTAGGAGCGTCGGCAGTACATATGCCGAAGGACACGTCCAAATCCTGCCTTCGGTGGAAGAAATGGCAAGTTTTCAATAAGAAATTCCTAAATATTCTGATAGAGATATCTTACTAGTTACTCGTCACAGCTGGAGTTGGTGGTATATGGAAGCTTGACTCCTTTACAAACTTTAGGTGGTTTCAAATCTTTCAAATCACCGTAATCTTGGATTGCAATACCATCCTTCGTATTTTTGTGTATCTTCTTTATTTGGTGAAGACATTTTGAAAGACCTTGACAAAAGAACTTTCAGACTTTTTGCTAAGCTTGACAGTTTTTCAAACTAATGTCTAACTGTGACGAATTTGTGACACGTAACCCGCCAATGAACATAAATAGCAACCGATTAGCGACGGACGACGAACCAACAATCTTTGGAACTTGTTTATGTTTTATTGAACTATTTGGAAAGCTTTTGGAAAGAAATTGGGAAAGAAAAGACCTATAATGGATTCAGAATCATATAAAAATCCACCAAAATACTCCAACAACCAAGTATCAACATCTTCAGCGATTTGGCATGATGACGACTACTTGGGAAACCCAACTCTATCGGAATCATCGATAACCTTGTTCCTCCTCCGTCAAGCGAGTTCGAGGTCTTCAGCTGTTTCGGTGAGCAAGATTGCGGGAGCCTCGAAATACAGGATTTGGTGTTCGACTTCACACCAGACCCTGAGATAGATACCGAAGAAGCGCAACTGAAGTGCATCGCGTTTTGGGATTTCGTCAATTCTCAACCACTTTTGAGAGTATGTGTGTTGAACCTGTGAGTATACGTAACCTGAATTGTTTCAGGTAATTTGTAGATTATGTGTGTATAAGCATGAACAGACACATTACTTACTATGATATGCAATTTTTAAAGGTTTTGAGTGATAATGATAAATTAGGTTAGGGCCAATTGCATTTTGTCAAAATCCGCTATTAACTGTCGTATGTAACCCTTTGAAGCCTTTTGGCATGTACAGCGAGAAGTCGGTTAGCCGCGCTGTATCTCTACGTTGTGTAGAGTTATGTCTACAGGTGCTAAGAAGCATCTTCTGAGACACAAGTCTACACTTGGAAGAAACCACCATTGGTGTCACAAGTGATCATATAAGTACGATTTTGTTACAGGAACCTACATTTGTACCTGGTGCTGTACCTAAACCTGATCCGCCAATCAAAGCTCAAGTGAATACCACTCCAGCTGTAGACGTTTTGAACAAAAATGCACACAGTAAGTGTTCATTCATTCTTTACTATTATAATTAAGTTACCTAGTCACTGGAAAGAAGGGATTTCAATGTTACTATCCTCATCAAATCTGTCCTCCTGATCAACCGCGGATTCCCTACTCAGTCATTCAGTTCAATATACATCCCGAATACGTCCTATGATCCCCGCTTACCTGCTCGACAGCCGATGTAGCGCATTGGTAGTGCAACTGTTACCGACGCATCCGGTTTAGATTCGCGGTGATTCACTCACGAAGTCGATATTTATCACTTTGTGGATTTGCTCCCAGTTATGTATGACAATGTAGGCTGAACCACCTGATCGTCCCAAAAACAAGACGATTCCAACCGGAGAGCACGTTAAGCCGTCGTCGGTCTCGGTAGTTGTCTATGGTTACTTAGATGGTGGTCGTTACTCAACCATGTCACGAGGCCTACGCCTACTACTGTCCCACTCGAAAAGAAGAAGTCGCAATCCTACGTTATCTAAGTCATTGTTCCTACCAACGTGAGAAATAAATACCCCATGATCTCAATACTCCAAGGGTAAATTACTACTTAGTAGATTAAAAGTACCAGAAACCAAAATCGGAGAGGCCAATAGTATTATTACGATCTTTTGATCCAGAATACTCCATAACGGGTCAAATCCGCATTTATACCAAATAATGTATTTTTGTTTATGCTGTTTTGTAAGTTTTAATTTAGGAAGGTATGATAAAGTGGTTTCATTAATACCTATGCTATATTTGCAGATTTCATAAAGCAGCCTGTCGGCATAAAAACAAGTGCGATATTGACGATGATTCATACAGCGATATAGGCAAAACCAAGCCCGTAACTGGAAAATGGACGGCACGTGTACCTATAAAATGCATTATAATTTACGAATGTATGTAATTAAATTCCAGGAGAGGCCTTTGCCCTGCAGTGGGACATGTCTGGCTCATAATAATAATAATAATGTAACTAAATAAACTGTACATAAGAAAATAAAATTAAAAAAAAGAAGAAGCTCTACAGATGTATATATGGGAAAAACATCAGGCCCGAGTTTGAAGTAGTACATATAATTAGAGTAGTTTCGGTAGGAATTAGACGTTTTTCCGGCATGTAGGTATAATACAAATATAAACTTTCTTCTATAATATTTTATTTTCATCCAAGGAAATAGCGATGTCCATGACAGGCAGACTGTATTGATGTGACCCGTCTGTTCTTGTTTCAGCCAAATCGATGAGCACGTGTAGCACTACAAGTCCCTCGTTCAAGAAGTCTAAAGCCAACAAGAAACCCAAGCCTAAGCAGACTAACCAAGAATCAGTCAAAAAAATGAACCAAATGCTAGACGAATGGGATGAGAAGCATCCTAAGTAAGACATCTACTTATTTTTCCTGTGTTAAAATACGGAATTGAAAAAATGTTAGCGTCGGCTGAGGCTTTATCATTAGTCTAGTGACCTATGCGCAGAATTCAGTATTTGGTCTCCGAGTTCCTGTGCAAAGTTTATTTTTTCATTTACAGCCACCAAAAAGTCGACTGCTGGACATAGGCCTTCCCTTTCGAAACATATAAAAGGACTTTTATTCAGTTTCCAACAAGAAATAATATTGTTTAAGAAGTAGTCCTGACTTTGTTCGCGACTACTGCTATTATGTAGGAATTTTATAGATCGAAAAATCGTAACGGGCGATTTATTGAGTTCTTTTACTGTCTCTCTTCCCCAGATCCATGGAACCTCCTGGTCCACTGATGCGGTCCAAACCCGTCATGCAACGTTTACTACCGCAGGACCACGTGCCAAAGACGTGTTTAGATTAGTTTATAACGTTTTGATCACTTACATTAATCTAGATAGTATTTTTATTTATAAATTTCATTATTACTAATGCTTTAATTTTAAAAACTATTTTTATTTTTATTTTTAGCATTTTAGACGAAAGGCAGAGTATGCCTACACCCCACAGTAGGAGGCCCATGTCCAGCAGTGGATTATTGTGGCTGTAGTAGTAGTAGTCTTCTTCTTTTCGAGTGGGACACCGAGTCGTCCAACGTCCTGTTGAACCCTGGTGTCAGAGATTAGCAAAGTCATGTACGTTTGAAACTTTTCTTACAAATATGAAAAAAAAATTTGGACCTCCCATACTAAGTGACACATTTTTTCAGCATTTTTGTATGGGAGGTCCAAATTTTTTTTTTCATATTTGGAAGTAAAGTTTCTTACAAAAGGTTTTCAGTTTTGTGAGTAGATTACATCCTCAAGAGATTTGTACTTAATGAAATGTAACCTCATAAATTCTATAAATTAATTAAATTAAATGTATTCTCATAAATTAAATAATGAGAAAATTGAAAAATTCACTAGCGACCGCCGGGACTTGAACCCTGTGGATCACCGTTCCACCGCTCTACCGACTGAGCTACGGGCGCCTAGCGGACCCTGGTGAATTTCTCAACCTCTTGATGCTTGTCTCGAAGCGACCAGGAAATATATTGTCAACATGTAATGGAAGTCATTACTTACCCATTAAAAGATCTTATGAAGAGTTAACGGTTTGACTAAGTGCCGGCTTCGCCGCAAATGGGTAGCGAAACAGTTAAGAATACGATTAAGGGTGACCACGAGATGTCTGCTTTTTGGTCGCTTTTGATGTGGAAAGTATGGGTGTGTTGTCTCAAAATTTACGACAGGGGCTGATTTAGTTAGGTTGTTTCAAGATAATAGACGCTATTTAGGTTAATTAAATAATTTCTTTGTCAAAAACACATGATCATTTTTACGATGCAATTTTTTCTGACCAAAACTTGTGTAGGTATTTGTTTCGGCGCTCGAGGACCCAAAGTGAGTCTCGGCCTCCGATTAGTTCTTTTTTCCTAACATACAAAACAGGAGGAAAATGAACAAATAGTTTGGATCTCCCATACAAAAATGTCTAAAACGTGTGTCAGTTTGTATGGGATTTTTTTTTCATTTCGAAAAAAATGTACCTACTAAGAAAAGTTGTTTAGTTTTACGAGTAGAACATACCCTGAAAATATTAGCATTGAATTTAATACGATCTTTACATAATATACCTAGCCACTTTCGCAGCTGAGACGAATCAACGACACCTCCCTCATAGGATAAGCTCCATTGACAAAGTCTTACCTTTTAAGGCTACCGATCAAAAGTATACTATAACGAAAGATAGACAATATTTAGGAGGTCATAACTCATAACCCTTCCGATGAAGCTCCAACACCGGTAGTTTCCATGGTCAGCCACATCACCGCCTCCACCCTTGACTAATAATAAACATAAATCCGAAGTAAAATATATTAAATCACAAATGTATATTGCATCTACTTACTCGTATCATTCAGGATCAGGCCAGTCGTCAACTTGCGGTCCCACTCAAGAATATCCCATGCTGAAGCAGAACTAAGCCAAACGCGGTGAGCCGTCTTCATTCATAGCAAGTAATTGTCTTGGAGTAACCTATGAACAACCACTAACAGTTAAAAAATATAGTAGCTATGAGATTTAACAATCACACTGTAGGTTTTTTTTTTAATCTATGATGGGCTTACTCTTGACCCCAATCTAACCTAGAGCAGAGATGGGATCTACGGTGGAGCGAGCTTGCCCAGAAGATGCCTATTCACTCTAGACTTAAAGAGATTCAGTTTATATGCACTCGGAAATACAGACGCAGGCAGGGAATTCCATTCTTTAGCCGTGCGCATAATGAAAGATGATTTGAAGCGCTTAGTGCGTAATGTGGGTATATCAACTAAGAACGGATGGTAGCCGGCCGTGCGTCTGGATGTCCGATGGAAGAAAGGAGACGGTGGTATGAGCTCATGCAGCTCACGCGCACACTCTCCGAAGTACAATCTGTAGAAGACCGATAGGCAAGCAACCTTGGTATTATTCCAAGCAAATACCAAGGTTATTGCCGTGTGGTGCCGGCTCTGCCGTTTGGTTCCGGTATACTATATTAGCATCACTCCATATTATTCCCGTGGGTGTCGTAAGAAGCGACCAAGGGATGAGAGAGTTGATATGTAGGTATTGCAATTCTGTTATTGACAACCTGTCACTATAGTGATACACAGTCTTCTAAATGACTCTCAAACAATTTTTGTCAGACGTGGTGTAAGTAGGTAAATGGCCGTTTCATGCAGCCGTTTACGCTCTGCCTACCCTTCAAGTAGTACTTAGGTGTACTATTATGTATTCTGTGGTATAGGCGTGATATATGTAGGTATGTATGTAAATACCAAGTTATCCCATAAAAAACTTACAATAATTGCCAAAAAAGGTTCCTGATGTAGGTATCAGATTTTCAACAGCCAACCTGCACAGAAGCCAATCTGCCATTTTTATAGCGCTCTCGCTGAACTTTACGTCATAGGTACAACAAAATAATCCTTTATTTATGGCGTTAATGAAAACTTTTATGTTAGAATTAAATCAGAATATTACACTATTTGGCATTGTTTAAGATATAACATAAACTTTTAAACGATCTAAAAGATCTAAAATCACAAAACTGAAAAGAAGGCGCGTTGCGATGCGAACCAATTTTGAAAATTGACAACAGCTCAAATAGCAAACCTACTCATATTATTAGTTTAAATTAAAACAAGAGAAGCCTCTGTTCCACATTTGTTAGCAAAATCGCTTCTATTTCCTTTTAATTATATAATTAAAATTTGCTCATTCTAAAAGGACGTAAGTGCATGATGACGTCACAATACGACTATAAATATGGTATCACTAAATTCAGAGTAATATTAAAATTATAATGGCAATACTGGCGATCGAAAGATTGTCAACAACCGTCAATCGAATCTATGGTTACCAGACATTACAACAGGGTTGTCAACCAACCATACGAGACAAATACGAAAATGGACTACCATACGAGGAGTCGTGCAATTTTGTCCGAGGTTTTAGAATTTCTCAATTTTGGATTCAGATGCTGATTGCGAACGAGTTTCTTAAAATAAAGTAAAATTTCATTTAATCGGACGGAAAGAAGACAATTAAGGAAGTACGAGCGTAAGTTGCGAACGAGCGTGGTCTGCGGGAAAACATCGAGAACCAATCATGGAAGACGGTTGGCCACTTGTTACACCATGACGAATACATAACGAACATTGCTGAAGGAAAAAAGGAAGGATAAGACCAAGACAAACACATACATATTTTACCTAAATTAAAGAAAAGGCTAGAAAAAAGCTGTACCAAGAGGCTCTCTCTCTCTCTTCGTGTGGGACGCCGAGTCGTTCAACGACCAAGTGGCTTAAGAGGCTTAAGAGGTCAAACCCCTTGTTAGAATAAGGAGAGACTCAACTTAGTAAAAATTATAGACTGGAAACGCCACACTTATTTACTGTGAGAGGTGGGGCCCACCCAGCCCACCAAAACATAAAGGAATCTACGTCAATTTCGAACCGTCGTCGACAAGAGATAAATGTATGACGATGAACAAAAACGGCTACTGAAAAAAAATGTATGAGTTTCCAGTACTAAAAATTACTAGAAGAAAAATCTTGGTTGCCAACCCTGCATTACAATCATCTGCCAATCAGTTGCATTTGACTTTGATTTGACTATCATCATGATGACATCTTTGACTCTCAAAATGCGCTTTTTTTGTATATTTACATCCACAAACGGGAGTGTTCTTTTTGCAGGATAATCATCGTACTGTGACGTCACAGGCACATTTTCAGATTTTTTTTATTATTTCCTAAATTATGCTATAGAAAAAATCGGAATATTTCTTACATTAATTTATGATCGAAATTCTGCAAAATGATCATGGAAAAAGTGGATGTTAACTAATTTGAGCTGTTGTCAATTGAATCGATGGGCTTTTGTTTTTTCTTTTTTCGAAACAAATTACGCACTGCAGCAAGTGGCCAGTGAAAAGAAAAATCATTCGATTCGAATCGAGATTCAATCATTTTGTATTTACTGAATGATTTAAAAATATATTAAAATTAAATATAACTTATGATAAAATTATCCTGAAAAAAAACTGTTCTTTAATTTTATATGCACAGCATGTTTCTATGAACAGATTTGATAAAAGAATTTTCAGTTTTTAAACCGCTTATTTATTTTACATATCAAGATAAATATCTACATTTTTGTCGACATGCAATGCTACCAATCACAATCTTTGCGCCTCTCATTTCATACCTACAGACAATCTTTAAACTAGCAAAACCTAGCAAAATTTTAATAATCATCACGCCCATATCCCTTGTGGGGTAGGCAGAGCGTTTTATAAAACTGCCACTTGCACCACGTCTAACAAAAGATTAAGAGTAACTCAGAAGACTATGTATCACCATAGTGACAAGTTGTCAACACGTCGCCTAAAATTGCAATGCGCTTTAACTCTCAAATCCCTTAGTCGCTTCGTACGACAACCACGGGAAAGATAGGGCGATGCTTATCTAAGACCGGCACCACACGGCGAAACTTTTAATATCTCTAACCTAATTTCAATAAAGTCGTAAATTTTTATGGGTTTGTATTCAAATAGGTACTCAAACTTCAATGAAAGCTCATAAAGCTCACCGTTGTCATGAACATCCAATAGGAAAAGTTTCTTAAGGTGCCAGTTAACAGTAAACTACATAACATAGCAGCAAACGTATGTGTCCTTATGGTAGGCAGCAGCAGGCCACTTTTTTCACAGATATTACGAAACAAAAAATAGCTACCTGTAATATTCGTAGAGCACTGTGTAATTTTCGGTCATCAAAAACTTGCGTAACTAGCTCACTGTCGTCTGCTGACTGGTGCAGGCAATTTATTTCTTTCATTATTTTTATACATAACCCGTTTACGCATGCTACTTTTCTGTCGCGCGCAAATTGTTCTCTGGCTGGACGACAATCGGATTTCACTCTCTCTATCCGAAGAGAGTGAAAGGGATTCCGACTGTCACGCCACGCGACAAAAAAGTCGAATGTGTGAATGGGCACTGCACTAATCATACCAAACCAATGCCACGCAACACTCTTTACCGGTCGATTCTTAATTTTAATTTCATAGAAATTCAAGCAGTGTCGTCGGATTCTCTTGTGCCTGCAGCTTCTGCGTCATGCTGTCGCCTATTGACTGAAACCTTTTGTATGTAGGAGAGACCGCGAAAGTTGTAAAATTTATAGTGAAATTATGGGATTTGAATTGGATTTGAACACATGAAATATCAACCTTTCGTGCGTATCTATTCAGTTACTTACATAAAGCCTTTTTCTTTTCAAGACAGCGTATAAAATATTTATGTTCCATACTACTGACACGAAGGGATTTATCGTACACAAAATAGAGAGTTTACAGAAGGATCACTCTACCTTATTTAGGATTTTTGCGATTGAGGATGGAGGATGAAATACAGCTCCAAATCTGATACCTCATTGTA